TTTGTTTGTTTAAAAATTAGCTTAGTAATAAGTTGATTTTATCAGATTTTGAGAAGTTATTACTATACAAACTTTTTCAAACAAACAAGAATTAGATCTTATTTTTGGCTATGAAGTCTTATAGCTCTAATGAAACCTTCTGTATAGCTTTTTTTTTTATTTCATTATGATTAGATTTCATTTTTTAAAAAAATTCTCTAAACTGTATAAATAATAAAAATTAAATTGAATTTATTAGCCAATCAGATAAACTTCTGCCTAACTTTAACTGCAATAATCAAAAATTTTAATATCTGACTCAAATATTTCTATATTCTAATTTAAGACTACCACTCTAATGCAATAATAAATTATTTAATTTGCATATTCTAGAAAGCATGATGTATATGCTATAAGTATTAGTATTTGATAGGTCGATTACTGCTTTATCCAAAGTTTGACCTTGTCATTTATACTAATATAAGAATTTATTTTTATCTTATAATTAACCTAATATATTAATATAACAGTAATGTTTTATAATATGAATTCCTAAGTACACAATATTCAATATTGTATTTTATTTTTCGTATTAATATCAAAAAATAATATACTAATCCAAATATACGGTTATCATGATCATTTAACTAGATTAAATCATCATTATTATTACAGATAAAAAACTACAGATCAGGATATTAAACCGATTCGATCTAAATCATAAGATCAAGAATAAAAACAGAATTTCAATAATTATATAACGTGATCATCAAGACAGATAAAAGCATAACTAAAAAAAAGATGCATATACAATGATCATGCTGCCCAATAAATAATTTGAAAATAGCTATGTAGCATATATATACATATATATAAGTGTTATATATATAAATATATATTGTCTAAATAAATATATATTAGTCATATGATTTGTTATATTCAAAATTTTATTATATGATTTTTATAAATTACACAAATTGATGAATTTACATTTTTTAAATTTTCTCTCAATACCTTAGTCACAGCATATAATGTTTTTTAAACAAACTTTGTTGCTGAAGTTTTCACGAATTAGAAAGTATAAAAAATATTAACAACTAGCTTGTTTTTGTAAAGTAATATAGCTTCAAAACTGTGTTATTTTTTTGTTTTCTTTTGTATAATTTTTTACCAGTTTACAAATACCTGCTATAAAAAATAGATCACTAGATACATCGAGTTGAGAGCTTTTGCCAAAATATATATGCAAAAGGCTAGTGCATTATGAATATAACAAAGAAAATCAGGAAAAACTGTTTTATGAATAGGTAGATCATATTAATTTAATAGTTTTTTTTTTTTATAATTTACTTTGTTTAAAAAAAGGTTTTATTTTTATATAACTTGTTAATTTTATTATTAATATTAAATTATTTAATACAATCTCTTTAATTATCTAAATTTAGAACTACAATTTTGTTTTTTGCTTCTATATAACAGTTATATCATTAATCCTGAAATCACTTGGAATTTTATAATTTATTTTTTTTTAATTTAAACTATAAACTCAGATCTAATAAAACATTATTATAAGCTTTAATGTTATTTTATAATTAATAATCGAATTGTACAATATAGATCTCTTATTTAAACATTACTAGATATAAGACCCATCATTAAACAACAGATGCTATACAGCAGAATTTTTATATTATAATAATATTTATATAAGAAAATTGAGATTTGATAATATAAATCAATTGAGTAACTTATTAAAGAACTTTCTAAAAACACACATTTCACTAATAATACAAAGTTATCCAAAACTGTCTATGATTTTAACAAAAGTTATTATTCACTATACAACTGAATTTTTCTCTTTATTGATTTAGAAAATATAAAATACTATTGCATGTTAAACTATGCAATGATATTTATACTATAAAGCAAACAAAATTAAAATATCTTTGTCCAAAATGGTATGACAATTAAAAATCTTCACTAGCAACTATCTAAATTTGAAATAATTGGTACAAACAAATACTATTTTAAACATTGTAATCTGTTTGTTTCTTGTAATGTATTTAGGTTTGCAACTGAGAATTAAAGTTTTAGCTGATTGTATTGTCAGCTAATGGTTTAGATCAAAAACACAGAATTTAAATAATAAGAATTTGATTTACTGATTATTAAAATTAATAGTGAGAATTTATTGCTGTTTAATGAACCTGACAAAAAAATTTAACTTGCAAAAACTTTTTTAAAAATTGCGCTCAACTAAGCATAGCAGCAATTTCTAATTATTGCACTTAACTAAATTAACATAAATTAAAAATAAAATCACGCATTTTAATATTTCATGAAAAATTTTTGCTCTCTACTTAAAAATATTTATTCTTTTGATTTAAAAGACGAATATAATTATTTTACTTTAAATTATATAAATTAACTATGGCATAGAATAGTATTGTTATAGCTACATATGATACTAATGTAATATAAGCATAACGTAAGAAAAACTTAATAATGTGATTTTATTTAATCAAATATAATATATCAATTTAGATTACTTGATTTTTTTTTGTTTTTTAATGAACAGCTAATTTAAACAAAAAAAACTTCTTGCTAACATTGATTGTCGAGTTTTTTGAAAATAGAGTAATAATTTATCAAGCTTAATAGTGAAAAACAATTAGGATATTGTATATCAGAACTAAATATTCATTCAACTCAACTATTAAAGAGAAACTTATAAAATAAAAGCATTCTGCTTTTTAAGTATATTTTCTTATATAATAAGGGCAGTGTTATTTATTATCTGATTTTTTTTTATCAGAGGCTTACCCCTCTTTTCCCTCTTAATATAAAAAAAAATCAGGTTCTTATATATAATTTTAACTTTTTTTACCATCTCGCCTTCTAAAAAATCACCTGATTTTTGTCACGTTCTTAAACCTTTATTCATAAATATATATATACATATTAATTGTATTTAATCACTTTAAAATTCTTGTAATCTAGGTTAGAAGAACAGTTTCACTAATTTTGTACGATCTTAAGTAGTTGTATTTAGTAATTTGAAAGTATCGGTTATTGTAGAAATGTATTTTTGAAATATTTCTAGATAAACTATATTCTTAGTGCAATTTAATAACTTGTAGTTGGCTGGTCCAAGAAAAATCTGTAACTTTTGGTAGATAGTTACACACGAACATGCAATATACAACTGTCTGTATGAAAAAACTGGTTTGGGAAGATACAATCCAATACAATTTACTGTCTGCCCTTGGGACTTGTGAATGGTTATAGCAAAGGCAAGTTGATATGGAAACTGTCATCATTTAAAAGCAAATGGTATCAAAGAATTCATTAGTAATAATTCGATCTGTGATAAAAAAACTCATTTTCTTTTAAACAATCTATTAATATATTCAGCTTCAATAATATTATTTTGTAGCATTCTGCAAAAAAGTCTCATACCATTACAAAGACCTTCGTTGGTATTAATATTCCAAAATAAAATAATTAGAGATCTCACTTTTAGAGTTAATGCATAAGGTGGTAAACCACTAAGCATTAATAAATTAAAAAAATTAGTCGAATACATATCTTCGTGAGCTAGATTGCATGTAGAAGAGCTCTGATCTAAAACATCTACACTAAAGTATATTTTTGCTTCTTCCAGAAATTGCAAAAGAATTTCAGTATTAAGCATATCAACATCAGAATTATATAATGCCAGAATGCTTCGTTCTACAATATAAGTTGAGTCAGACGAATTTATCAGCAAGGAAGGATAAACAAAATCGATTAAATTTTAATAAGATTCATCATATATAGCGATGCTTTGTGGTAATTTTATGTAACTGCTATTTGGCGTAATTCCAGATATTTGTCTTTCACTAATCATTAATAGCCAATTAGCAAACTCTCTTTGCATAATAGCTTCAGAAGTATCTAAAGAATTTATAGCAGTATGCAAGTGCATATTAATGGTTAACTTTCTTACTTTGACATACTGCCATAAATACGAACTACAAAAACTGGTACTAATGATATCTTTATGATCACCTTTTGGAACCACAGGAAGAAATCGCCACCAAAAATAAAAACTTTATCGCCAAAAGATAAATTTTTAGAATGTTGATTAACTGAACTCATGATATCTCTTAAGATACAATTAACAGCTCTAACTGTGAGCAATATATTATTAGTGCTTCATCCCAAATAATGAAAGTTGTTTGTCTTATAAGCTCTGCAAGATCAGAATTCGCAGAAATATTGCATGTTGAATTCTCATCTGAATCAATAGAAATTTTAAACTAAGAATATGCAGTATGATCTTCATCAAGTATTAATGCCACAATTCCTAAGGACACAACTGCTAAAGCAATATTTTTATGGGATCGAACTTTTACTAAAAGAAAATTATAAAGAAAAGTTTTGTCTGATCCTGCTAGTCTATCTATAAAAAAGCATAAGAGAATATTGCTTTTTAATGCTTGTATTACTTCAATAAAGATGGCTTGTTGATCATTATTTAAACGGTTTGTATTCAGTTCGATAAAATATTTAAGGGCATAAATATCATAATTTAACTTCTCATTTATCAAACAGTTTTCAAATTCACATACAGATTCTGAGCAAGGCATATTTGGAAAATCTTTTAGTGTCTTGTATTGCTGTGAAAGAATATTTTCTAATTGCTGCAATATATCATTTTTGATTTCATGATCTGTAAGTTGTAGTTCAGGATTTTGTAACTGTTGATATGCATGATACAATATATCATCAGTAAGTGAATTAACATGTTTCATCTATAGTTATTCGGGCTCATTAGGTTGATAGTTGATTAAAATTGTTGCAAGTAAATGACAACATCAGCAAAATTTAAAAGGTGCTATATATCGATAGTAATCCCCTAGATTACAATCGATATACAACCCCCCTGCC